GCTCGGCGGCGTTGGCGGGCGTTGCCGGAGCTCCCGTCGAAGCGAACCGTCGGGCGAAGTGCGGCATCGGGCCGGAGGTCACGGGGGAGGGGAAGAGGGCCACGGTGGTTCCCGCCCAATTTCGAGAATTCAAAGTCGCAGCCCATCCGGGCCGTCGATCCTGTAGATCGGCGACGCAGATGGGCCCCGATTTTGAATTCTCAAAATCGGGCCTACCGGCCCTTTTTTCTTAACTTTGTTGGCCGAAGCGGCCTCCTTTGGGGGGAAGAAGGCCGCCCGCGTCGAAAATGGCCGAACCCCCCCCACCTTCTAGGATGTGCTGGGGTTGTCCGGTGGCCAACCGGGCGGAACAATCGGCCAGGCGGCCCGGCCTCCCCCCCAGGCGACCACCGGGTCGCCGGGCGGCCCAGGGACCAGCCTAGAGAAAACGTAAATAAAATTTCAAAAAACCAAAAATGTTAATTAAAGTAACCCCTTTAGAGTCTAAGCTTTAAACTGTCTGCCTATGACCCCGGAGACCACCATTAGCCCTCGTACACGTTTTTCAGAAGCTCAGATTTATGCTCCATTTGGGATGCACAAAATTTCCCAGTAAAAGGTCTGTGCGACGCGTAGGCCTCGATAAGCCCTACCGGGCCCCTATTTACAACAGGTGGGCCGCCCTAAGTGAAGGCAGGCTCGACAGACAACATGAGGCCTATTTTGGACTACTGTGCAACTGAGGGAAATTCAGGCAGTTGCGCAGCGCCAGTTGGTTGAAGGCGCCCAGGCCCTGCGCGAGATGCGCAGCATAGGCCCAACTCAGACAGCGGGCAATTGGGCACAAGTAACTGTCGGTGGCCCTGGGTCTGATTCGTTTGGTCTGAGGCTCAGCCTCCCTCGGCCTATCCGAAGCTTCTGGGCAGGGGCCCAATGCAGCCAGGCTGCACGCAAGCAGGCTGGCCACTTCCATTTAGGAAAGGGCCAGCCCACACATTGGATATTCGAGCATTGGCTGCTTTGTGCGCAAGCGCTGCTGCGCTATCGCTTGCCAGGCTCACGCGCTCACGGGCGAGCTGGAAGGAGCAGGCAGCCATAGGCGAGCTGCACTGCTGTATGCTGGATGGGGCGCATGGTGGTCCTTGGGTGCAAGTGGCATCTGTGAGTTGGGGAACGAGGTTGTGAGTGATACGAGAGACATACCTGGTGCTTGACGCGTGCGGCATTGGCCGAGATCTGCTCGTACTTGGGAAGCTGTTGATGTCATCAGCGACATTGTAGTCTATGCTAGATAGGATCTGCCATTCGTAGTCTGGGCGCCCAGCGTCGGATAGGATATCAACATTGGTTCTCCATTGATGATGATGAGACTATTCCAACATTGTCAATTATGAGCTTTTGGTGTGCTCTTATTTGGTGAAACTCGTGATGCAATTCTGCTATTGGTTCGAGGTCATGACTATCTGGTCTCATGTGTATGATGCTGTTTGATTGCTTTCGCTATTGCTCATCTTCCTTGCAATTTGGTATCGGAGCTGTGGTTCGGTGCGCTAATTTGGCGCTTGTCTTCTACCTAATACGGTACATGCACGCGGTATATGCAGACAGACCTTGTCGTGGGACGTGTGTAGTGAGGAGGGCGGAGACAAGAGTGGCGACCCTGGAGGTGAGGGGTATTGTCAGGAAGGCTGTGTGGTGATTATTGGGTGTTCGCAGTGTGATGAGAACTATCCGATGTTGAACTATCCGGTGTTGATTGGTGCTGAGGTGGAACGGTTGTGCAATGCTGGTTGTGCTGAAGCAGCGATTGGTCATCACAATCAACATCGGGTCATCTGGTGAGAATATTTGTGGTTGGGGGCAGCTATTTTGAGGTACATTGCACCTAACCTTATCTACCCTCTTCGACACTTCTTACCGTGAGGATGTGTGTTCTATCTTGAGAGTCCTCTCATGTGAGGAGTCGTGTGCGCTTAACCTTGAGATTCGTCAATCTTCACGTGGAGCAACTGGAAGGAGAGGGCGGTGCTATCTGAATTGCCCTGGACGAAGCACTGGGTCACGGTCACCATGCCAACCCACCGGGAGTAGAGCACGCATGCTTTGCTGCTTTGTCCTTTGTCTGCTCGCTGCGCTGTAGAGGGGTTCTGAAGGGCGGGCCAGCCCTATAGGACAGACGAGACCGGGCGTCTATAAATAAGCACCGGCGGGGTACCTTCCATTGGCTGTGATCGGCGTCCTGTCTGCGACGTTAAACAATTCCTGAGGACTTCAGGGGTCGTCCATATAAACGCCTCCTGGTCAGCCAATCGGTCGGTGTAAGGCTCACTGCACGCGAGGATAAAGACTGTGCAGGGTTGGCCAGCTCAGCAGGACTTGGGGCACAGGGGCGGGCCGTGTGCACACCTTTAGGCACGCACGGTGTCCGGTTTGCTCAGGGACTTTGGCGACAAGAGACATTCAGGAAGAACTAAGGAAGGGGTGGATTCCAGGTGATAAGTTTGGGCAAGATTCCATTCTGCAAACAGACCCAACAAGCGATTCTATTTTTATCTTTGATTAGTTAAATGTACAACCATTGACATCTGACAAACAGCATAGATCGGTACACGCGGCAAGCTCGTATTCGTTGTGGCCAATATTGCTATAACCAATTCAAGTGCTGGAATAAGAAGGTGACCGAAAAGATCCCGCCTACGATGGGGCAGGCGTTGGGATCCTCCGCTCCCGTTGGTAGCAATGTGGCCAACAGTTCTGGCACTGCTCCGGGAAACGCGTCGGGCCAGTAGGAATGGTAGTTGTTCCTGCTAGGGTTGAGGTGGTGGACACACCCTCACCATCTCGAGAGATGGCCCAAGCTACTGACTCCATTGTCGTCCCACAAACACCTTCAGACCCATCGAGCCTCTGTTCGATGAATGTGTTTGAGTCCTTACAGGAGCTAAAGGAGGAGTGGTCTAGATCAGACCCACTAGCTTCTTGGACGGCATTGGCCAAAGCCCCTAAGGGAGAGATGTTCGTCGGTGAGGTAGTCATCGGTGGCCGCAAGGCCGCGGCCTATTATGACACTTGCTCGACTAGGAACTTCATCAGTCGCGCGTGCGTTGAGAGGCTGCGCTTACATGGGCAAGTGCAGCGCCTGAGTCGACCTATGGAGTCGACCTGTGCCAACAAACAGCCCATGGTAGTTAATGACTACCTCCAGAATGTTGAGTGTTGTTTTCCGTACGCGGGAGGGGAACTGAGACATCATGTTTCGTTCCTAGTGAGTGATGGTCTCCCCATGGATATCTTGTTAGGTATGTACTACCTCTCGGTAGCACAACCCCAGTTTGACTGGGACCAAAAAGTGGTCAAACACACTTTGCCAGGTGGAGGGACCGCCATATTACGTAAGTTCAAAGCTAGTAGTCTGATTGAGTCCTATGGATGCATGTGTGCGGCCGCGTTCTATAATTATGATAAGCACAAAGTCCGGAGGAGGGTATGTATCTAGTTTATGTCTCTGCAACAGGCGAGCCGGTGAAAATGTCGTCGGAGATAGAGGGAGTAGTTGCCAAGTACCTTGACCTATTTGAAGAGCCTAAAGGGGTTGCTGAGAGGGAGGTCGTCCACGCGATAGAGATTATCCCAGGGTCTAGCATCCCAAAGGGTAGGATCTTTCGGATGTCTCCAAGCGAGCTTGATGAGCTTCATCGACAACTCAAGGAACTCATAGAGAAGGGCTGGATCCGGCCGAGTGTTTCTCCTTATGGATCTCCAATCCTATTCGTACCGAAGAAGGGGAGAACACTGAGGATGTGCATTGATTATAGGGGCCTCAATGCGATCATTGTCAAGAACAGAGAGCCCCTACAGCGAATCGACGATTTGCTAGATAGAGTGCAAGGGTGTCGGTACCTCAGTAAGATAGATCTGAAGTCTGGGTACCATCAGATTGCAATCTAGCCCGAGGATCAACACAAAACCGCATTTCAGACCAGGTACGGTCTGTACTAGTTTGTGGTGATGCCTTTCGGCCTTTGCAATGCTTCTGGCACCTTTCAACACGCTATGAATCGGATATTTGATGACTACTTGGATAAGTTTGTCATGACATACTTAGTTTTAGTAGAACTGTCGAGGAGCATGTAGCGCACTTAGACAAAGTACTCAGTCTCCTTCGGCAGCACAAGTTCAAGATAAACGGGGAGAAGTGTGAGTTTGGCCGCACTCGTATCTTGTACTTGTGTCATGAGATTTTTGCGGAGGGTTTGAAGCCCGATGACGCGAAGGTGGCCAGCTTTCGTGACTGGCCTCGTCCTCAGTCTGTGACTGAGATGAGGTCTTTCTTAGGGATGACCGGTTGCTACCGTAATTTTGTTAAGAACTATAGCATGGTGGTCGCCCCTTTGATTGACCTGACCCGCCTTGACACCCCATGGGAGTGGACAGACAGGTGTAGGCTGCTTTGAGACACCTGAAGCATGTGTTGACGCATCATGAGGTCTTGAAACTTTTTGATCCTTACAAGTCGTTCATAGTAACCACGGATGCCAGCCAATATGGCATAGGCGCCGTGCTCGCGTAGCAGGAGGGGCCAAAGTTGAGGCCAGTTGAGTACATGTCCAAAAAGATGCCCTCTCAGAAGTTGGCTATGTCCACCTATGAGAAGGAGCTCTATGCGATCTACAAGGCGCTCACCTATTGGAGGCACTCTCCTTGGGAGGTTCTTCTATGTCAGGACTGATCACCAGACCCTGAAGTGGATGAGAACCGAGTCTGTGCTCTCCGACGCTCTGAAGCGTTGGATTGAAGTCATAGAGGAGTATGACTTTGATCCCCAGTACATCAAGGGCGAGTACAACAAGGTTGCTGATGTGCTGTCTCGTAGACCAGATTTCTTCGGGGCGCTGAGCACTGAGTTTGGGCTTGCAGACGGTGTTACTCACTCTATGGTGGAAGCCTACCGCGAGGATCAATTTATGTCCGAGATTATTCGCAGACTCGAGGCGAAGGACAAAATCACTCCTGTTGAGTTTGAGCTGGTCAACGGTCTGTTGTTCCTTGAGAAGGCACGGAATAAACGTCAGTGTGTTCCCAATAGAGAGTCTTTGCGTAGTGTATTTTTAGGTGAGTGTCATGATGCCACCGGACAGTTTGGCTTCAAGAAGACTGCAGCCAATCTGCTGCAGCGGTTCTGGTGGCCCACGATGATGAGAGATGCAAAGCTGTACGTGGAAACGTGTCAGGTCTGTTAGAGGGACAAGCCACGTACACAGGCTCCTCTTGGGCTTCTAAAGCCCCTTCCGATTCCGGAAAGGCCTGGTAAGAGCTTGTCCATGGATTTCATGGATGCGCTGGTCACCAGCAAGAGTGGAATACTCTACGTCTATGTCATTGTGGATAGGTTTAGTAAGTACGCTAGGTTAGTCGCAATGCCTGCACCAACTAAAACTGAGTATGTGATCAAGCTGTTCAAAGAGAACTGGGTCAGAGACTTTGGACTGCCTAAGTCTATAATTAGTGACCGGGATGTGCGATTCACCAGCGAACTGTGGAAAGCCGCAGCTGCAGAACAGGGCACGCAGTTGCAAATGACATCAGGCAATCACCCAGAGGTGAATGAGCAGGCAGAGCAGTTGAACCGCGTTGTGATGACCTGTCCATCCATGGATTGAAACACAACTGATTTCTGAGTTTTGCCCATAGACTGAATGCCCTGCTCAGTTTCCCACTTGCTACTAAGTCTGTGTGTGCACGCTTGTTGGATTGCATGTCTGTCTGAGTGCTGGATGGCTTGAGTGTGTGTGTGACCATGCCTGTCTGAGTGTTGGTTGGCCTGGGTGTGTGTGTGACCGTGCCTGT